GTTGATGGCGAGGGAGATGGCGCCACCGATGATGTTGCCGAAGTTGCGGAACGTGAACCACGTCGCGATGTAGCGGCCTCGCTTGTGCTGCTCCGGGTATCCTGTGGCGATGGCGCCCTCGACGCTCCAGAAGAAGCCCGCGCTGATGCCGCAGGTCACACTGCCAAAGTACACCATCCACGTGGCGCCCGTGCGGTTGTTGAGGTACAACCCCGCGGCGTACAGGGGATAGCCCAGGGACCCGATGGCGAGGGTCCAGCGGAAGCCGATGGCGTTTGTGAGCCACGGCCCCGCGAAGCAGGTCACCGTCATCAAGGCGTAGAGGAGCGCGTTGGCCGTGTTGACGAGATTGGGACTCTGCGATCCTCCGACCCCGAGACCGTTCATGGCGCTCCAGATCCCGGGGGCACAGAACGCGCAGAGCCCGACGACCAGGATCTGGAAGAGCGTCCGGCGGAAGAACGTGGGGCGGATATCGCCTGGATGTAAGACCTCGTCGTCGCCATCTGCTGGATCAGACGGTGGAGCTGACTTCGCAGGTTGAAGCTCTTTATCGGAGGAGAGCCCCGTCTTTTTGTCACCGGGCGGTGTAGCCATGTTGACAGCACGGTGGCGGCTTATGACAAGATCAATAGCAGTTCTGGAGCCTTGAGATCTCGTATTCTCTATTTCGAGAACAAAAGCCACATTTATGCCGCCTGAACCTAGGTAGACTTACCTTCAATATACCTGTCGACAACAACAGGAATGAGTGGGGAGACCTATACTCGCCATTGCTGGGGTCGATCACGCAAGGGTCTTGGAGGTCTTGATGCAGCACCACAGGATGTCAAGCTACAAGTAACAGGACCCATTTGTGTTATCTCGACAAAGCAGTGGAATGACCCCCATATCGGCTAGATAGATGCGAGTTCTAGCCGGCCAATGGTCGAACAGACAAAAAAAAAAAATAAATGATCGTCAATGGAGATCCACAAATATGGCGACAGGGGACCAGAGGATGATATGATCGCCGCTAGAAACCGAATTTTGTGTCTTCTTGTTCTTCTTGGCTCTGTCGACCGTTGACATTTTAATTACGAGTACGAGCGTTCATCAAACCAGAACCCAAAGTCAGACTCTGAAACTTGCTAGTGTCTTGGTGTCTGGGTGATCCGATGTAGAAATAATAACCTGACTTTTCTGAAGGTAACGGTGAGGGCAGTGGATCCTGTATCGGCGAGACTGGAGGAGCCTCCTCCGAGGAGGCGACGACCATCCTGACATGTAGATGTTGCTGACTGACAGAGAGGCGATATACTTTGTGTTATTCCATTCCAATATCTCTATATCCCCATTCCTGTAATTCGATATGATTTCTCCTCGGCGATTTGACGGCGCTTGTGCGGCTCGGATTTCGGCGTTGGGCGGAGGAATCTGGGGAAATCAAAAATCTGGGGGGAAAGAACAAAGTCCTTTTGTCGTCTCCAACCGATCAATTCTGGACCACTTGAAACAATAGCAGCATATTCCGAGGGGAACGGTTGGAAGACAGTGGCAAGTCTAGGGAACCCTTTGGAGGATTTAGACAGCAACGACAATATTGGTGGCAGAACAAGACAAGACAAGATTCGATCAGACGGGGAAGTTAGCTATGATGGCCACAGCCAATTCACTGAGCGGGCGATGCTCAATCCATCTTCGAAGCGTACTACGCCTCACAAGACCAATATCCAACCAACAGTGTGGGCTGAGCAGTTCTCACAAGCGAAGCCCAGGTTATCTTCGCCTCGCTGCACAACCCGCGGCGAGGATACTAGGTCGACAACAGCCCCTGCGAATGCTCCATGTAACCGCTATCCGTCAACAAAGCGAGACAGTCTCAGGCAGTGACAAGACCAGCAGCGGCGACATCCTCTGCTCTGTCACTCCCTCGCCGAGCGGGGATGGACGGACCGTCGCCACCGTGACAATCTCCAATGCCGCACGGCTAAACAGTCTCAACAGCACGCTGATTGGCAAGCTCACGGCGACACTACGATCACTCGCTCGTGAGCCCAACTTGAGCTGCGTCGTCCTCAAGGGCGCCATATCAGAGAGCAAAGTGGCCGCATTCAGTTCCGGCGCCAACATCTTTGAAATGGCTCACATCAACAACTACAACGACGCCAAAGACTTTATCTCGCGTCTGCATGGGGCGTGTCAGGCCGCCAGGGATTTGCCAGTGGTTACCATTGCGCAGATCCACGGACTGTGCTTTGGCGGGGCGCTGGAGCTGGCGGCGGCGTGTGACTTTCGATACGCGACGCACGAGTCGTCCTTCAGTATGCCGGAGACGAAATACGGAATCCCGTCGGTGATCGAGGCGAGGCTCCTGGCGAACATTGTTGGCTGGCAGAGGACAAAGGAACTGGTGTACCTCGCAAAAATCTACAATGCAGAGGAGATGGAGAAGTGGGGGTTGATTGACGCCAGTTACGACAATGCCGAGATGCTCCAGCGGGAAGTCGACAAGGCAGTGGAACTCGTTGCCTCGAATGGACCGGAAGCTATGAGGGCGCAGAAGAGACTGGTCACACTGTGGGAAGAGACAAGTCTGAGCTTTGGTGTCAAGGCGGGAATCGATTCCTTTGCAAGCATGTTCAGCGACGGAGGATCCGAGCCAGCCAAGTACATGAGAGTATTCACCGAGAGAAAGCACGGCAGAGGCTGAAGGAAGTCCTTGAAGGAGGGTGACTAGCTGCGCGGCAGCAACTCTGCGTTCTTCGAATGCCTTGCCGTAAATCGCCGGAGGGCCCGAGCATAAAGTGCCTCGCTCAGCAGTCCATTGGTATCGCCAGGGACAGCCGACCAAAGTGTGGAAGGCTGTTCCTGTTTCAATGAGAAGATCACAGGTGGCCAGCAACAGGTGGTAGAGGAAGAGTGCTCTGTTATGTTGGTATCACTAGACCAGCGGATAGTCGGGAGAGGCGATGACAGCAATTCGGCAGATAGGGTATGTATGGAAACAAGCAGCTGACAGTTAACTTCAAGAAGGCAGGAAACCAATATGACAAATATTTTATGGCTGTTACTGCCTGGGGCCATCACCTGTGCTGTTTTGTCGACTCAGACACGGACTCGGGCCATCACAATGCAGTCTTCGTACACAGGTTTCCGTATTCTCTCAAATTTCCCTCGTACTAACCACCTTCATTCTCGCACTATGAGACCCAGTGGAGTACTTGGAAAGATCGGATACCAGGTTTGCTGGTTCACCTTTGTCGTCCTCGTGGTACACCCTTGCGCAACCGAACCCACCCCGTTGACCCTGGTAGATGGAGACCGTTTGGGCGGCACTGATGGCTTGAGACTCCACTATAGAGATATAAAGGCGACATAATAGCGTTTACCGTGGACCTGGTACAAGGACGTGCCCAGTCGCTTTCGTGATCCTTAGAACGGATGACGCCACGTTTTACCCACTACACTAGTATTTCTGTACTTCTCCCAAGGCGGAGAAGGCCACTTTAGTACTTGAAGACCAGAAGGTGTGTCGCTTTCCTCTTGTATCGAGTATTATATTGCTGAGAGTAGTTCACATACTCGACAAGCAGCAAGTCGGCATCCTTATTGACTCTTCATTTGCGACTCTGTTCCTCCAACTAAAAAAAGAGCCATGGCTACCACAATCCAGCCCTTCGGAGCGCATCCATCCAAACTCGATGGCACTCCGCTATCGTCTTTGCCCATCACCTTTGAACCTTTTGATCTGCCCTCCACCAACCAGCGTATCCTCGGACAGCCTCATCCTGCGGACACTGTCATCCCATTGGCATTGAAACCATCTGTTCGCGATGGCGCCGACGTTGATCTGGACACCGTCGTCAACACGATAAAGTCGCTCCAAGCACAAGGCGGCATCCTGACCGAGGCCCTTGCCCGCCATGGAACCCTTCTTTTCCGCGGCCTGCCCATCCACAATGCCCAGGACTTTAGCAAATTCGCCCATGCATTCGGCTACCAACCGCACGAGATCATCGGCATCGTGGTCAACAGACCGGTACTGGCGCCGAACGTGGCCCCGGCCAACGAAGCGCCCAAGGACGTGCTGATCTACAACCACAACGAGTCTCCCCAAGTCCCGCACGCCCCGGAATACATCTTCTTCTACGGCCACCGCGTCCCAGAAAAGGGCGGTGAAACACCCATCTCGTCGTCTCTGGAACTGTTCTATCGCGCACAGCAGGAGATCCCCGAGTTTGTCGCGGAGCTCGCCGAGAAGGGCATCCTCAGCAGGGTCACGTACAAGGTCGACACGCAGTACGAGGGCGGGTCGACGCTGAAGCAGGCATTTGGCAAGGAGATCCAGGATGGCGACGACGAGGCGACCAAGCGAGCCAAGATCGAGGCCCAGATCGCGCGCTACGGTCGGGGCAAGCACACGACGTGGGAGTGGACCGACGACGGGAGCATCATCTTGACCCACCGTCTGCCCGCCATCCGCACCCAGCCAGAGACAAATCTGCCCACGCTCTTCACGGGCCTCGCGGCGTATTACAAGAACATCCAGCACAACGCCGACAAGGGCCGCAAGAGCGCGGCAGAGCAGCTATATGGCGACGGCACGCCAATTCCAGAAAAGTACGTCGCCCATCTGGCCAAGATCACCGACGAGATCCGCGTGCTGCACAAGTGGGAGCGAGGCGATGTTCTCGTCTACGACAACATCATTGCCCAGCACGGTCGACAGCCCTGGGAGGGTGAGCAGGGAGACCGGGTGGTCATGGCGAGTCTCTTTGACGGACATAGAGTGCCTGGAGCGTACGGCAACGAGGATTGGGCTCAGGTTGTCCAGGCTCTAGACGGATGATGTAGCCAGTCCGCCTTGAGGACATCGAATGTGGGTGTGTGGACAGAAGCTTCAACATTGTTCTTTAAGAAGTATGATTTTGACAGATTGTTTGTTCTTCTCGTTCACAGTTATTTTTCTATCGATCTAATACTCCCCAGAGACACACACCACTAATCTACCCTGCCAACTAGAGCCCAGCAACCATACCGTACGTCAAGACACCCTCACCATCTGGCCGCGCCCACCCCTCGGCGTCGACGACTCCCTCGCCAATCCTCACCAGCTCGACAGTCTTGAATCCCAGATGGGTATAGACGTCTCTTGCGTGCTGATTAGTCGCCTCCAGCCAGACAGGGAGATTTTGCTCGCGAGCTTTCTTGAGGAAGGGATCCACTAGGTTCCGAATAGCGCCTGTAATGTAAAGGAATGTACAAAGACGCTCTCCCCCACCCTTTGGGATGAAGGGGGGCCGAGCAGAGACAAACGTTAGCTAAGTACTTTTCATCAAAACTCAAAACAAGTCTTGCCGTGGCCCAATGGGGGACAAGACACCACCCTCTGTTGAGTAAACAGTTCGCATGGTCGTACCTTTTTCTAGCCTCTCCGGTGACCGGGCAATGAGGTTGAGGTACCAGTGGGGTCGATCGCCGAGATGTTTCGCCTTGAGCGCGTCGTACTTGCGCCGGTACTCTGCGGCCCCTTCTGAGATGGCCGCCGAAGAGCTCGGCACGGGCTTTTCGATCCCTGGAGGAAGCCTGTGAGTCATGAGCCGGTCCCGGTGGACCGTGAGGTTAGCGACCTAGCCAGCAACCCTTGGGGGGAGGAAGAGCGAGAGGCAAAACGAAGCAAAAAAAAAAAAAAAAAGAATATGTAACAAATATCTTTCTTCGCCTAGGTCCCCCCCCCCTTTTCCTCCCAAAGAAGAAGAAGCTAGGTACAGCAGTAGGTGGAGCGTATTTTTTTGGATTCTCCCACTTACCACAGCGCCACGCCGGCCCAATCAAAAGTATGCAGAAGGATGCCTCCGTTCTCGAAGCGAGCTTTGATGAGTGGCAACCAGTGCTGGACGCGGTTGTTGAAATCCGCCAGTTTGGGGTGGTCCGGCCGTGAATCGCGGCCCAAGAAGAGGTAGCGATTCAGGGCGTCGTTGGCGAAGCCCGCGGCAATCACCTGGGCGAATTTGTGCACGTCCTCTTCCTCGCTGACGGGGGTTGGTTCGTGGGTGGCGGTGGTGGTGGCCATGGGTACCGAGTAAGTAGGTATCAGAGATGGTGAGAGAGTGACTCAATGAGCAAGAATACCTCGTGAGTTCGGATAGGTTGGAGGTATAACGAACAAACAAAACCGCGCCAACTTGAATTCTTCTCGCGAGTTAAACCCAGTCTATGAGAAATCCCAAATCCCAAAAGGAGGACAATGGGATCTACATACAGTACCAAGTACTCGGTACACGGACATCCAACAAGCAATCCACGCGACAAATCGGACAAGTCCGTCAAAAGAATAATAATACAAGAAAATAATAGAGCCTCGTCAGGTACCCACACAACCACGTTCACTATTGAGACTTTCATACTTGTAACCTCGTACAACGAAGTATCTCCGCGCAGTCAGTGTATGTACCATTCTCTCCAAAAAGAATGTCTTTACGAGATGAAATGCAAAAAGACGCCGCTCAGACCATTCATCCCTTCTCACAAAAATCTACAACCGAGGCGAGAAAATTGGTTTCGTATTACGTTATCGTGTCCTTTGGTTGGCCCAAGGGGAGACATGGTGTTAATATAGTCAAGATCATGCCATCGCTTGGCTCAAAAGCTTCAAGCGGAAAAGATAATGGGGGGGTTCATTGCTTGAAGTTATTTCCCGGGTCTTGGAAAGTTTCCTCCACCTCCACGTGGATGTGTAATGGATTCCGTCCAATCTCGTGGGGGGGAAGATGGTAAGAGACCACGGGACATATGCTCATGTAGTCGGTCATTCTGGATCATGTCTTCAATTATGTGTATAAACACCTGGTAGGCGTTTCACGTCCTTGCTGTCTCCTGCTTGTACCATGTACCTATGTATATACTAACTGGTATGCAATCTGGTCTCGAGCTGGTCCTCAACGATGTGGAGCTCCCACTCTCCTAGCCTCATGGACGGCCGTAAACCGCGTGATATGATATATCGCACCAGAGAGGCGAAAATTGCGCGACTTGGACTAGCAGCAGCTTCATCATTCCAACTCAACTCGCACACATGGCCGGATCTGCAACGTTCCCCCAACGTCTCGTTTCTGCAAGGGGCCGAATATCACACCCAATAACTCGGAACCGACTTGTCCACGGTAGCCACCGGAATAGGTCTGATGGTGCAAGATGCCCTCTGGATCGCGAGCATGATTCTGGCCCGTTGAAAAGAACTCTCTTTGATACGCCTGTGCGAATAAGGTGGTCTGTAGCAACGTGGGAAATACTCACTAAGTTAAGTTACTGTGAGTGGCGAGACTGAGCCTGCTCAGAAATGCCCCATTTCGTCTCAGAGCTGTCCTATAAAGATATTCTTCAGGGCTGAAAGAGAAAAAAAAAGAGAGTCTTACCGGCACAGCCTTGCAGAACACTCCAACATGTCTTTCGGCAGGGATTCCAGTAGTTCCAGCATCGACCACGGCACTGCTACATATGTAGTAGGGCCAGAAAAGACAGTTACTGCGTTAGAAGTCACCGACGACGTACCAGACAACCCTGACACCAGGCGAGATGTTTCCGGCGATGTCCTCGACGATGGGCTCCGACGAGGTCTCAAGGGTCGACATTTCGTGATCATTGCCCTCGGCAGCATCATCGGACCAGGCACATTCTACGGCTTGGGCTACGCCATATACTTGTCTGGTCCGCTGGGTGCGCTTCTTGGATTCATCATTGTTGGTATGTCAAGACACTCTCCCCAATACTTCAAGCCGCGTACCAGTGGCACAGTATACTGATCTTACGCAGGTATCTCCGTGTGGATATTGATGCAAAGCGTTGGCGAGATGACCACCTTGTTTCCCATCCATGGAGGCTTCGTCGAGGTACCATTATGCTCCAGCCCTCTCCCCCAAATCGAAAGAACTAACACGTTACCAGCATGCCGGTCGTTTCGTGGATCCAGCGCTGAGTTTCGCCATGTCATGGCTGTACTATCTCATGTGGAGTGTCTTCCTCGCTGCAGGTATGTCTTTAGTCCCCCAACATCAAGACATGTTCACCTGTTAACATTGTCAAGACTGGAACTCTGCCATCCTGATCCTCCGTTACTGGGTGCCCGAGACGACATTCCCTTCTTACGGCTGGGCCCTCATTTTCTGGGGAGTCTTCTCCGTCATCACACTCCTTGGCGTCAACGTGTACGGCGAGCTGGAGTATTACTTTGGCATGTTCAAGTTCATCTCCCTCATCATCCTCTTCCTCCTCTCCATCGTGGCCAATGTCGGTGGATTCGGCGGTGGGTACATCGGATTCAGATACTGGACGAAGCCAACGGGTAAGGTCTACAAGCATCTCTGTCGGGTATTGGTGAACTAACCCTGTAAGGTCCAATTATCCATGGAATCGACGGGTTTGGACAGGTCTTCGTCCTCGCGGCAGCTTACTACGTTGGCACGGAAATCATTTCTCTGGCTGGTGGCGAGTCCAGAAATCCCAAGAAAGATGTTCCAAGGGTACGAATATACACAAACAAACATTACATCCAGGTATTCAAGTTGGCTAATGTTGGCTCAGGCCATCAACTCTGTGGTATACCGTATCTTGGTCGTCTACATCGGCATGCCCTTCTTCCAGGGACTTATATGTCCCTCCGACTCCCCCGACCTTTTGAACGCAGATTCCGTGGTTGCATCGTCACCCTTTACAATCGGCTTTACTAAAGCAGGGTGGAAGACTTCCGGCCACTTTGTCAATGCTCTGATTACCGTGGCGTTTGTCTCCGCCGCCAATGGAGTGGTGTACGTGCAATCACGCACGGTCTATTCTCTCGCCTTGACCGGAAGGGCACCCAAGATCTTTGCAAAGACGACATCGCGTGGAGGTAAGAGAGGACATCCCCATTGAAAAAGGGGGACACTGACACTTTGACAGTACCCTGGGTGGCCATCCTGACCTCCAACCTCTGGGGCTTCCTATGCCTGATGAACAGAAAACTCACTGCCGGCCAAGTCTTCTCGTACATGACCAGCGTGGGCGGCACGGCGGCCTACATCGCCTGGGCGGCCATTATCTTCACGCACCTGCAGATCCGGGCCGCGGCCAAGAAACAAGGCATCGACGTGAAAACATTCCCGTACAGGGCCTTTGGGAGCATCTGGATCTACCGGCTCAACTTTGCGTTCAACATCTTCCTCCTCTTCATCCAGGGGTACACGGTCTTCAAGCACCCCTTTAACTGGCGATCGTTTATTGCGTGCTACATCACCATCCCGACGTTTTTCATCCTGTTCTTCGGGTTCAAGCTGTATTACAAGACACACTGGTATGTTTCTCTACTCATTGATACCTATACCCATACCTACGAGAGGAATGATTGATTTGACTGATCGTTCATAGGGTTCGTCTACACGAAGTCGACTTTTCGGACCGTCGGGAATGGATTGCGCCAGCGTCGAAAGCCTCGTATGATTCGAGGTCGTGGAAGAGGAAGCTGTGGGATCTGTTCAAGGATTAGAGTATCAGTCGATCTCTGAAGGAGGGTTCGTTGTTGGTCTGTGCTGGATTGAAGATCAGCAATTTACCACAGATAGCTTCTGGATGAAGAGTTTTTCCAGTGTCGGCAGTAGATATAGTCTTTGGAGACGTCTGCCTATAGAGAAGGAGGTCTGCTTGATAGAGTGTAATAGCTTTCTTACCTCATTTTCACGGGCAGAGGGTCCGTCTCTTAAATCATCGTCTCTTGCACAACTTGGTCACCCCTAGTTCGCTGTAGCGCGGCACTTACTCAATGGTAGATATGTGTCCGCTAGTTCCGGATGCAGGTATACACCAAGGCTAAGAAGAGGCCTTCACGATGCAAGCACACGTCCAGGCCCACCTGCAGGGCCAGCCTCATCTTCGACAAAGTTCAGCTTCGGCGGGGAAGCGACCGTCTCCACGTTGAGAGCTTGTTACGCAGATGGAACCCCGGTCAGGCCGTTGCCTCGAGTAGGCCAGCTTCAAGAGTGATGGAGGATCACCGATGCATCGAGAATGGAAATAGCGGTGTGATGTTTGGTTGCCCAAAAGCCCGTACATCATAGGCAGATCCACCATGAACCCCGCAACGCCCAGGTTGGTACCAATAAGGAGCCACAGCCTTGTCGTTCTGGTAGAGCCTTACACCCGCAACATGCACATCTCCCCGTGGACGAGTAGCTTGCCTCCAAGAATACTTCCACACAGGGGCTTGTTAAATGTCCATCAACAAGCAGCGTCTTCCCCTGATTGTGCTGGGATCATACTTCTGCAGGTCGTGGAAAACTTGAAATCGAGACACGACATAGCCCAAGAGGTCTGCAGGTTGATTGCAAGGTTAACTTCGAACTCAGCCACATTCGCCTGTGCCGTCCAATCAAGGATAGCCACATAAGTGCTCGACCTCCATGGTACGTTCAGAGTCCCGCCTCGTCCAATGCCTTAGCAGTCATGGCTGCCGGTTGCTCGAACCCGCCGCGGGGACAATGCTCCTTCCACTCGATAGTGTGGTTGCCTATTTCCTGCGTCAAGAACAAAATGAGCAGAAGGCCCTTTTATCCTCACGATTAGAAAATAAAGCCAATTCCTCCTCCACTATCACCTTGTCATAATCCCTGCCTGTGTTACTAGGAGCTCTCTTTCCGACCATGTACGAAAAAGCAAAACTGGAAAATGGATGCAACATCAGGCTCCTCGAACTCGAGCCAGGTACAGCCGACGATCCTGTCCGTTGCCGACTGCAGCCTGTTTCATTGGAATCCTGTCCATCGTATGAATGTATCTCGTACGTCTGGGAAGGACTTCCTGGAAATGCGACCATCTTCTGTGAAGGTCAGCCCGTCGAAATCAAGGCTAATCTGTATGCCGCATTGAAAGCCTTTCGGGACGTGGCCAAGGCTCGCACTCTCTGGGCCGACGCTCTGTGCATAAATCAGAAAGACAAACCGGAAAAAGCCAGGCAGATCCCCTTGATGCCGCAGATCTACGGACGGGCCCGACAAGTTCTCCTCTGGCTTGGTCCATCTCAGAGGCTCACAGAGGAGGCGTTTGACAAATTGAAACTCCTTGCCATGTTGTGGGAACAACGGGCTGGACGAATTGATAGACGACCGAGCCCAGAAGAATACAAACACTTGGTCATCCATCACAGATGTCACCTGGACGATGCGTCCGTTTTTAACATTAACCAGACACCTAGTTGGGCCTCTGCAGATATTTGTACTCCCAAAGACATCATCAACCGCCGGGACTCGTTGCCGAGGAGATGGGGACAAAAGGGGTCCCAAACATTCGAATTCGACAACGCTTCTATCTGGGAAGCCGTGGAAGGTCTGTTTTTCAATGTTTTCTTCTCACGTGCCTGGATTATGCAAGAGGTAGCACTTGCCAGCCTTGCACTGGTATACTGTGGCGGTTTTTCACTCTCCTGGGAGATATTCCATAGTGCATTTAACGGATGGGAGCTTCTCTTGTTTCATCTATCAAGACAACATGACGCAATGGATGGGATAGCCGCAGGCATTTGCACGGTCGGAGAAGCAAGGGAGAGCTTTCGTGTTTCTGAGATGGGCAAAGACCTTTCGACCGCAGTGGCCAGGTTCGCATTCTCCAAAGCAACTGATCACCGAGATTACATCTACGCTGCACTAGGCATGATCACGACCCATCATGGCATTATACCAGACTACGAAAAGGACGTCGAGGAGGTTTTCTTAGACGCGGCAAAGCGCATGATATCCCAACGACAAGATCTGTACCTTTGGGGTCGTAATTGCTCTCCTCGAAGGAAACGTTACAAGGCACTACCTACTTGGGTTCCAGACTGGTCGGTTCAAAACGATCATTATGCTTTCCTGCATATGACCAGAGAGTCAGTAACAGACGTTCCAGGCCATTGTACGACAGTTGGACGTCGACTGAGGGTCAACGTACACTTGCTCGATACCGTCTGCTTTGTCACCAAGGTCAACCTCGATGGTACAGTGTTGGGAGGAGCAGCAGAAAATATTCTTTCGATATTTACGCGCTTGGGACTCGACCTCTTTGGCGTCTATCGAACCGACTATTTTGGTGAAGGTCAAACACCTAATAGCTGGAGACACCTGAGTGAGCCACAGAGTGTCCAACTATCAAGGCTGGGAGACGTCTTCTCTATTCTGACCAAGCTTAATCGAGTGCCCAGTTGTGTGTTGAAAACACTGTCTGAATTTCTTGTTTTAGGAGAGCGACCTGGAGATCACCAAAGACTCAACATTGAGGCATTGTGGGATGCCTTATGCCATAGTTCCTTCCAGTTCAATAGGGGCAGAAATCCTGGGCTTCAACTTTTTCTGTCCTGGTGGTTTGCAGCCGCTTGTTCAGCATGTGGCAGCTTCACGATAGATGGAATTATCAAGGCTCCTAAGGCGTACGACATCTGGGTGGTGGCAGCGATGCAATTAACCGCATCCGAGGAGTCGTGTCGGAAGTCCTTTGAGAGCATTATTGCCGGGATCATGTCCTCTATTCAGGGAGGAAAGGACTTGTTTGTCACCAATTCAGGATATATCGGTCGCTGCTCTCCCGGCGCTGCAAAACCTGGACATCATGTGGCCATTCTCGGGGGCGCATACCGACCGTACCTTCTCGAGAAGCAGACCAGCGGCCTGTTTCAATTTGTCTCGTATGCGTACGTAGAGGGTATGATGGGCGGGAACATTACGCTGCCTCCACGCGCCAAGGTCAGTATGATCGAGATTGAATGACGAAAGGAACTGGAAGATTGGGCTGGGGAGAGAATTTGAGACTACAATAGTCAGAAGTACCTTCAATAGAGTGGCCGTCGTTCCGTTCGATCTGTATTCGTAGTCGACTTCCACATAGGTAATCGCTCGCATGACGTTCGTTTTACCCGGGGATGGCAGCACAAACCGCCAGCAAGCCTTGACTTCGGGTCTGTTCGCGATCGAGTTGTATTCACAAATACGACGGCGCTGCCTTCTGAGCTCGTGGCCCTGAAACGTCTCGTTCTAATCGTGTATGTAAACAAAAATGGCGCTGTCCGGCGGACAGATCTCCGATCCGGAATCTAATCTAGCCCTTGGCTCTCCCACTCCTATAGAATATCATTGTAACCATGACCCGCCGCCCACGCATAATTATATCCTAACCTTACAATACCATAAGCGAAGAGATACCGACGACCACCACCACCATCAAAAGAGAGCGCCTCAGATCACCGGCAAGCCTCACACCTGCGCTAGTAGTCCCCGCCGTACCGCAGCAACTGTCCCGGTCATAGGTCACGTTGTTGGCGTCCGCGGCGACCTGGAAGACACTGCCGTTGAAATTGCCAATGTTGTAGTAATCGACCAGCAGGAAGTTGGGCGGGCGGTCCCACAGGGCGGTGCAGTTGAGGACGGTGCGGCCGGACGAGCCGAACCCGGCGTCGGCGTTGGTCTCGTTCAGCATTGTGAAGAAGGGCACGTCGATGCTGATCCCCGCGACGTTGACGTCCAGGTTCAGGTTGTGGTTCGCCATGTACATGCGGTTCTCGCGCACGTTGCGCGCCTGGTCCGGCGGCCGCTGCGGCGTGCACGGGAAGTTGCGGTCCGTCGGCGAAAAGGGCGTCTCCCACATCTGCGAGAACTCGTCGAGCAGCCAGGGGATCGCGGTCTGGTTGGCCTCGTAGTCCAGCATGACTACCGCGCGCTGGTTCCGGAAGATCATCTCGGCGAGCGTCGGCCACGAGTCCAGCGGCATGGGCTGTGTCGGAGGCGTGTAGACGAAGTCGATCAACCCCGAGTTGACCACCGGCGCGGTGAAATTCTGCGGCGCGACGACGTCGTAGTTCCCCATGAGGATGGTGATGACGTCGTAGGGGTGCTTGCGCAGCCACTTGGTCACGGTGCCGAGGTAGTCCTGCAGTGTGCCGGCGTTGAGAAGCTCGCAGGACGTGTGGCAGAGGTACATGGTCCCGTCCTCGAGATGTGCTTGGAATTGTACTGCAATAGCAATCCAGCCATTAGCTTCATACTGGCCACACGGAGAGACAATGGAAACGGACAAAAACGTACACATGCGGATCCCGTCGTTGAGCTGAGTCTCCACATCCAGCATTTGATTCGAGGCAAGATTCCCCGGACGGATAAAGGGGCTGTTATGGGCCGCCACGTAGGTGATGTTGCTGAACTTGCGGTTGCAGAATGACGGGTGTCCATTACACGGGACGGTGTTTGTGGGCGGTACGGTAGACGATGTGCTCGAGGCTGTTTGGTTCGTAGTCGCCGTCCCGTTCAAGGTACTCGTTGTCCTCGAACTGCCTACCAACACAGTTTCGGTGGCCGAGGATGATGTCGAAGTCGTCGTCGCATTGCCGGACTCTGTACCGGATGAGGTTGTGGTGCCGTTTGACGTTGCGAAAAGACTCGACAGGTCTGTCACAGTGGCATAGTCGGTGGTTGCCGTGATGGTTAACGTGCTCGACTCGTCGGCGTAGGTGGTGCCGCTGGTGGCATAATCGGCGCCGGTTGCGGTGGGTGTGTCTGTCGTCTCGGTCGTTCCGCTCTCACTATCGGACTGCGAAAACGCTTGAAGCACAAGGCCGGCAAGGGTAAGGGATGTTATCAGCCGCATGTCTGATACCGCTTTAAGCTGAGCCCGGTGATGGACACAGCATCTAAGAGGCAGAAGCGTTGTAGAACATTTTTTCGAGAAACAATGGACTTGGCAATAGGCGGAGACGGCATGTCGTCTGAACAGACAGCGACGGGATAAAAACTTCACGTGATTGTCAGGAACCACACACTAAATACCTAGGCCATGAGTTGCCATCATCCAATACTATTCGATGACGCGCGTTGCTCGGGTGCTTGGTTCGGAGAAATACTCGTAAGCCCCTGAAACCCCATTGCCCGATGGTGTTGGCACCCAACAGGACGGCCAGGCTAGTTACCCAGCAACATCCCTTGGATAGCTACAGTGTCAGTTCTCGACTCCCATTGAGCAGTGTTTTGATTTGATTCACTCGGCCCAAAAAGACGTGGTGGCTGTTTATTGGCGGCGCCCTCATTTCGTCGCGGTGGCATTTTGACATAATTTTGCGATGCGGAAACAAGGTTGTCGCCCGGTTGCCGATTGCAGCCCTAGGCCCCACTCGACCTTACCATGTTTGGAAGTGATACGTCAGGCTAGTGGGCCTTAGTGCAAGACAAGGCTGGGATCATCATTGATGTTCGTGATGTCATTCATCGTTCCTGGCCGCCAGAACGTCCCATTGGGAAATCCACCTCTTGAGTTCTCTGCGTCCAAGCCACGGTCAATTATTACGAGTGCACCGCTCTCACACTCGATCCCTGCCACAGGTCCTTGAAACCTACGCGGCTGAGAATCTTGGCACACATCTTTCCAGATGTCGTAGCCCAACACACCACTTCCCTACTCCTCTCTATCAATTAATCCGTCCCATGATGATCTGTACCTTTCGATGAGGAGGCCCGTCTAGATTGGCTTCCCAGACATTTCAGCACCAGCATGGCCTTCTTCAGACGCACCAAATCTGAGAAGCCCGTCAACCGAGACCGCCCATCCGACGAGGTCCCATATGGCTACACAAAGTCCAAACCGACAGCCCTCCGCACATTCGCGGCGATAATCTATCTTCTTGCCACAGTCTTCCTCATCTTGGTGGAGATAGGAAACATCAACGACAAGGCCGTCATTCGGTCGACCTACTTCCTCAAGATCGACCTGGCAAACATCATCCCGGCCTCGGTCCCCAACGCCATCTTCATCAACAGCATAGCCCAATCCATCGGGCTGCACGACTTCTACCAAGTCGGCCTGTGGAATTTCTGTGAGGGATACAATGGCGAGGGAATCACGTACTGCTCCCCGACCAAGACGCTGTACTGGTTCAACCCCGTGGAGATCATCCTGGACGAACTCCTGGCGGGGGCGTCCATCACGCTGCCCAGCGAGGTCATCGACGTGCTCGACCTCGTCCGCCTCGCGTCCTTCTGGATGTTCTCATGCTTCCTGGTCGGGACGTGCCTGACGTTTCTCTGCATCTTCGTCTCTCCGCTAGGCTTCTCCCAGCGGCCCCGGTGGCGACATAAGGCGAAAAGGATATTCCTGCGGCAGCTGCCCATCTCGATCCTGACCCTGGCGGCGTTGCTCTTCACCGCCGTGGCCACGCTGATCGCCACGATCATGTTCCTCATTTTCCAAGACAAGTTCTCGGGCGCCGCCGACTTGAACATCCACGCGCACCTGGGCAAGCCGATGCTCGCGTTCATGTGGATTGCCACGGGTCTCAATCTGATTGGGTTCCTCATGCAGCTGGGCACCTGTTGCGGCGTCTGCTGTTGTACCGGGAGGCGCAGGGCGGTCAGGCACAGTCAAATGACCGAGGCTGGGCGAGGGGGGGTAGTCGACAACACCGAGGGACAGGGGGAGAAGACGGCGCGGGACGTCGACAGCAGTGCCAGGACAGATGGGTCTTCTGCCGGGGCATTCCCTGCGTTCAGGCGGAGCAGGCGAGGCTGAGTGTGCTGTGGTCGTCTTTATGTTCGGGATGAGCAGTACTGATGAGGAGCATGCCAAAAACTCATTGAGCGCATCTGAACGGTTGTGTGCGGCGGACAAGCCAAGGAACACTACAAGAAGCCCCTTAGCTATCTATGCACATACACTTTCCACCAGATGTCGGTCCACAACCGGCGCCTTCACGAGTTCTCTTCTTGTCCCTCGGCACGGAGCCCACAAGTGTTCTTCCGTGTCGTGCCAACACAGACAAACGCCCCGAGTATCTTTGCCGGGTTCCAGAAAGAGAGGATCCAGGCTGGCTGACCGAAGAATCCCCGTCTGCTTTTCCTTCTTGCCTGCTTCTCTACCTGTCTACCTGTCTACCCGTCGACTCAATTGTACCCGAACAACCACGTCCCGATCTCTCCCATGCGAGGGTGTCATCATCTACCCGCGGCTGAAAGGAAAGATCAGATCAAGTTGCTGCCTCGTTAGCACCCAGCCAGGATAAACTCCAGAGGCCAGAACGCTCGAGAAAGTAAATACATCGCTGTCCATACCATCGAGTCTCACCGTAAGGACAGACATGTTCTATGTTACTTGTACATTCCCTGCTTCCCTTGTCTTATTTTCTTCAAAGCCCGCCAGCCCGAGTTGGTCGGTGGAGAAACGGATGCTGAAGAGAAATGTCATGGTTTTTTCCGATGATATATTCTACAAGGGCAATAGTCTATTGCCGTTTCATTGATCATAAAGGGGCCGGATCCCTCGTTTCCAAAATCGGGGCAGGATCTCAGGTCTCGAGTGGTGGTGGCTAGGACCCCCAGTGCCCGATTCTACCGTGTAATTAGAGAATACTCTTCGCTAAAGCGCATCGCAAACATCGGTCCTCGCTTGTTAATAGGTAACCCACTCCTGCGTCCAGACAAGACCGCCGCTCCCGCTCTCTTGCCACCGATCCTCGCCGGTCCACAATCCTGTTCCTCGCAACCTGCCCTCTCTCCCTTCTCGGTCGGCGTGGCAATAGCGTAACAGTACCTTCCTCTCGTCCAGGAAGAACGTAATGTCAACCCACTTCGGCTCCAATTCCTCCGCCACAGCGCCGCACTGGACCACCGCGTGTTCTTCGATGCTCGCCAGCTTTTCGGCGATGGTGTAGACGCCCAAAGTGTCCCATACGCGTGACTGGATCTCCGATTTGTTGAGAAGGGACGTCACTTGATACCGGACTTTGGTAGACCGACAGTCCGTTGTTCCTATGTAGATTGGGGGTCCGATTCCACTGTCGACACTCATCGAGTGCTCATCATACGCGAAGAAGGATGAGCGGTTCAAAATACTCTCGCTCAGGACCAACAAGCGCGCAAAGTGTGCGTTCAAGGCTTCCTTGCGCTCGGCGTAGTTCCGACAGGACTTGTGGCAGTCACAGGTTTCTGGCGGGTCACACAACGGCACGATCACTTCACCGGTATCAGCGGAATGAAAGGCCATCTGTGTCAGCAACAAGAGATATGCGGCCTCGCGATACGCCTTGAGAAGCTGAGACATGTGTCGATCCTGCGGGCTGTTCCGGCATTTTCCGCTCTTGCTGTATTCTGCATATGCCATACTCCATTGCAACAAACGGGAGATGTGTGTTTGGTGACGCTGGAAACCCGTGCCTGTCAGCAAGCCCTGTTCGAGAAGACCCCATGTGTGCCATATCCAATTTGCTTCTGTGAAGAGAATGTCACGGGCCTGCGAAAGTGAGTCGAATATGCGAGGGATGGAGAGAGGATTTGGGTCAAGGTAGGAGGTAGTTTCGCTCCCTGTCGGAGAAAATGGACTTAGATATGGACCAGGCATCGACTCGGCCGGTTCGCTGAGGATCTTGGCCGCGCCTCCAAATAGGCGGACGGACTCAAGCTCCAGTCTAAGGAAGAGGCGCCTCAGACTGTCATGGTTCACCTCAACGGCACGATACTGCGTATTCTTGTAAGTTGTGCGCATCTTTCCACTCAGGACGCCCTTCAGACCGTTCGTCATGTGCAGTTGCGCCGCATCGTAATTGCCCTGGAATGTTTCAAAAATGCTGAAGAGTTTCATGACAATCATGTTAATTTCGGCGGCATTTGGATGTGAAGCCATGTCATCCGACAACTTTCGGAGTGCCTTCTGGTACAGTTTATCTGCAATGTCGCAATACTCAAATGCCTCGCGCGAAATTCCCAGTTCGAATCTCCGGTGGACAGCTCCGACTGCTGCTGCAGCTGCAAGTACTGTGGGATGTTGCACACATGCTCGCACAATGTATGTTCGCCAGACTGAGCTGTCGAAATATGCGGCGAATTCGGGGCCCGTCCGAGACCGGAAGAAGTCGAAACAGAAGAAGTCATTGTCCGACTCAAACATGACATTGGATGGCGGCCGCCAGAGTTTGTCTAGAGCGGATTGGGTCTTCGAGTTGTTCAATGCCGGGATAGCAACTTTGCCTGTGCCCGTCTTCTGTCGCTTTGCGTCGGCCTCGGTATATAGGGGTGATGACTCCTCTGATGTTGAAGGTTGGTCGGAAGTTTGACTGACATAGCCGTCGCATTTTCGGCCAGTACTTGTGCAGCGTCGGCAGAACGGTTTCTCCTCGTCACATTTCTTGCGCCGAACTTTGCACGTTATGCACCCAGTTCTGACCTTGTGATGTGTTTTCCGAGTTCTCTTTGGCTTCTCCATCAGCGGGAGGTCCGCCATGATGGCTGTGCTTGTCATCGTGCGGAGGTATACAGCCTTTGAACAACAAACTCGAGATCAGAGAAACAAGGCAGTGTCATTCCACCAAAATGCGGGGCATGGCGATATATGTACTTGTGCTTGTAGAAGCCCCAGAGGCTGTTCCTTACCGAATACGTGCCATGCATGACTCCTTAGCATTCCGGAAGTGCCATCCCAGGCAGAAACCCTTGCCTGTTGAAGCGTTCCTGACTAACGTAGGATACTGATGCGTGATTGGCTCGAGCGTACTTTTTCGCGCAAGATGTGCCAGGTGCTGACATGAAGTTCCAGGCAGCAAGGGCACCAACGGCGGAGTGGCTTCATGAGATTGGCTCTGTGGATGCCGCGGATATACTGGCCCGATGGTAGCCGCGAAGAGTCTGGCTGCTTTGGCACAGCTACCGTCTGGCCTGAAAGCAGCCTGAAGGGCTCGGATTCGCGATTCGCCAATTCCAGAGCAACAGGACCACAGTGCCTAACGAGAAATGAAGATCCAGTTGTTCAGCGAACCATAATAACGTGAAGGGATGTCATTATTCCTCCTTTTTTCTGCTTTTGCCTCGGAGTGCGCATGAGCTCCGAAACTGTCGTCGTCCGATTCTGTGTGCATTGATCAGGTGAGCACCGAGGTCTAGGAAAATGGCTGGTAGATACCTCTTGGTATGAAGGCTAGGGACATGATTGAATCCGGACCCGTTCGAGCATGGGTTCTGTGAAGATTCAGTGGAATGACCAGGCGAAGGATGCGTGAACAGCAGGTGACAGGACATGTGCTCGTTCTTGTTTGCAGCTTGTGCGGTCAACGCCCGCAGCGGCCCCCAAACATGTTGCTTGCACCCCGCATAATAAGACACACCGACGATTGACAATTGACCTTCACACTATCCTATTCCCACGACAAGAACACTCCAGAATCTCTCAGTCCATCTCCTCATTGCATCATCACCCTCGGCCCTCAAGTAGTCACTAGTCATGACGCCCTCGAACAATATCGCCTACACCGCACCCATCAACCCTCCATCCACCTCACCGAAACTCACTATCTCACAGATCTGGCAAGGTCTCGAGCTGAAGATCCGCGCGGGCCAGGACTTCGTCGGTGGCGCCCTCCTCTCCACAGACGTCATTTCCGAGTCGAAAGATGAGCAAGGCCGACCCGTCACGGTGCGCGAGGTTGTGTTTCGAGACGGGAACAGGAGGGTGAAGGAGACGTGTGTCGCGTACGAGGCGATGAAGGTCGAATTCCACCAACCTGACGGCTCCAAGGTCCAAAACATCATCTCGCAAGGTGCGGGGCCGGAGGGCGAGGATCTCTACATGACCTACACGTTTGAGTGGCTGCATCCCGAGTGTGAGGGCGACGTCAAAGCATTGGAAGAAAAGAGGCAGAAAGAGACCAAAGTGGCCAAGATGGCAGTCGAGGAAACCATACGGGTGATGAGAGAGATGGTCAAGGACGGCAGGATCAAATAGTCAGGAGAGATGAGCGGTCAGGCACCCCTCGACTACAAAAAGTATCATTGAGGATGGCACGGCTAGTAACGCGCAGAGAACACATAGGACGCCCATCAATGTCCGCTCTTGAGTGCACACTTGGTCATTTGCCAATGGGGTAGTTCAGAACAGGCATATGGATGAACGGCTAGCATCAGACATGCACTATGGACAATTCCCAACGGATCTTTAGACTGCTCAAGGGTGATTCAATGCCAAAATAGAGCCGCTTCAGAGTTGTCCAAAACCAAGATGACACCCAAAACTACACAAATTCCCACTCAATAACCCTGTCTCTGTTCCTTTCGCTTTCCAATATTGCCCGAATTTGCAGATCGCCCACGCCAAATTGCTGCCTCAGAATTCTCCAGAGTGTGTCTCGTTCCCAGGCTATCTCTTCTTGTAAGCTCGGGTCATTGCGTGAATTCTGTGTTTGTCTTAGACTTTCTGCCTCGACAGCTCGAGTAGGCCCGAGGTACGGTGGTCCTCTCCTGTGGCTGTCCTCGTCGCTTTGCGTGATGATATTTGAGGACCCTGTCGCAGGACCGTGAGGCGTCCAAGGTGAAAGAGGTGCCCATGAGGTGCGTGGTGAGAAAGATGGGTGTTGTGTGTGCTCACCTGAAGCTGCCCTTGAAGATCGACGACCATTAACTCCGCCAGTTGAAGCTCTTGCCTGCAATAGAGCTGGCTTCAGTGGCACATTCTGTGGTCCAGCTCTCAGAGGGGCATAGGGGTCTTGCAGGCTCAGGCCGCTTCCAGGCGAGTGCAGTAGCCCCTGTAGTGACTGGCCTTGTGAGTCGACTTGTTGCCGACTTGGGCCAGCAGACTCTGGCTGTGCTTGAGAATTGGCGAATTGCTCGGTTATCACGTCTCTCCCTTGGCTACCGCGGTTCCGTCCTCCACGATTCCGTCTTTTAATCGGTTTCGGTTCTTGTTCGGAGTTGGTCGTCTTTTGAGGTGTGGACATCTTCATCTCGACATCTTTTCTCGCGTTATGCAGCGCTTCTCTCTGCTTTTCTTCCATCCGTAACCTGTTTCGCCGTGCTTCTTCTATAAGACGCAGTCGGCGGACCCCATTGGAGTCGGGATCAACCAAGATGTCTCTGGGTGGTGAGTCAAAGTCGTCTAATACAGGAACAGCTTGTGCCTCTTGTGTTGGTTTTGCTTCGATGAATTCCTCAGAGAACCTCTCCATGGTTGAACCAGTATTGGAAGTATCGGAAGAATACGTTGAAGGGGTTTTAGCTAGTCCACCTCTGATTCTGGGATGTGGGAGGGCCGTCATTGTGTGATATCCCAGCCACTGTGGGAGGGTCGACATCTCCAGGGTTGGCGTCGCAAGTAACAATCTCGGTCCTGTCGTCAGAGTGTTCCGGTGCCAGCACTCATTATATCAATGACTTGGCTCTGTTTATCGCAATCAGAAAAGACATTTGTCGTTTCCACGGCCAAGCAAACGCTCGTGCTCAAGAGCACCATTTCAATGACTACAACAAAGCGTGTAGGCGGTAGAAAAGCGATCCTGAGGATAGGGGACCACGGAGAAAGGTGACAGGACAATGGATGTTTCAGACAGAGCTGTTTGCTTGACCGCGAAAGGGCTCAAACATCAGTGTCTCAAACCGTTCAAAGGGTATGGTGACAACAGAGATGACTTCCAGATCCACGAACTTGGTACGCTGCTATTGCCTCATTCCCAGGCCTCGCCCCAGTCATCATCATTGATGTCAGGCTCTTTAGGCTTGGGTGCCTCTTTCTTGGTCTCTTTCTTTGCAGCTACAGGGGGTGTCGTCCTTGTACTCGAAATGACCGGTCTCTTCGCATTCGCCCCAGTTGTCCCACCACCCGCAGAAACACTTCTCGCTGGGCCGGCAGGACGGACATTGAGCGTTGACGCTGCGGAAGTACCTTTGGATAAGCCCTTTGGAAGTGGTTTCTGCGATTTGGATTTTGACTGCGCGGCCAGCCAGCCAGCGAAATCTGGTTCGCCACCATCATCAAAGGCAGCTGCAGTTTCAGGGGTGGTCGTGTTTGTACGTTGCGAGGGTGATGCATCAAAGAAGTTATCTCCCTCATCATCCATGGTACCCCAGGCATCCATCGTGTCCCCTTCCTCCCAACCTGCTTCGGGCTCAATCGCGTGTGCGGAGCTTTTCACTGGTTGCGAGACTTGTGATCTCGATGGGCCAGTTGTCGGTTTGTCGGATGAAACGTTGATGGTGGGTGTGTTGCGTCCAGAAGCAGGCATCGATTGCGTTTGTGCCAAAGGCGCCCCGTTCGCTGTCGCCGTGGAAGCCATCTCGCCTCTAGCCCCCGCCATTTTGTTTGTGAAAGAGGAAATTGCCCAACCAGCCCAACTGGTGTCGCTTTGATTTCCGATCCTCGCTGGAATAGCGGCACTAGCTGCTCCTGGGGCCGGCTCTGGTGGAAGTGCCGTTTCAGGTAGAGAAGATGCATATTTGCGAACTCTCGCCAAGTAAGAATCGACTGCTTTGGTGGCTTGGTCACGAACTATCTTTTCTTTGTCGACCAGGCTGACACAAAGGACAGGCAAGATTTTCGTGGCGCAATCATCGTCACTGAAGACATCAATGGTGGCGTTGAGGGCCATCAATGCTGCACTTCGGGCATGTACGAAGGGATCTCTTAGAGAACGGCCAAACGCAGCAATTAGCACCTTAGACCGTGACCCAACACCCAGATTTCGTGCAATCTTCCCGAGGCATATCGTGGTGTTGGTCCTGATTCCTGGCTGATCGTCATTGGCTGTTTTGGCGAGGAACCGAAGGAGCTCTCCATTGATGATCCTGTCCGATAGCTTGGATATCACTGAGAGGACGGCCTTGACTGTCTGTTCCCTGACGACTGGTGCTGTGTCGGTGAAGCCAGTCGTCATGGCGGGCCAGATTTTACCATTCACATCTTTTTGAGGTATTCGATCGATCATTAGTGGTAGGTTATCCAACAAACATACTCTCATAGCCCGGTCTGGACTGTTGAAGAGACGGATAATGAGCGGTCCAAGGCGTGATTCGAATTCGTCGTCGGACATTTTCAACCCGATTTTCATGATGGCTCCAAAGACACTGGGTCCTCCGCCACCGAATTCAACAGACTTCAACAGCTCGGGCAAGATTTTCATCTTGAAGAAATCTTCCGGGAAGTCATCCGTGAGGCTGTCGAGTTCCCTGTCATAGGGTAAGCAACGTGTCTGCTTGATATCAGAAGGTGAGCTTACTTCAGGAACTCATTCCGTTCCTCCTCGTTCTTCAACCCAAGACTCTCAGCTCCTTCGGTGATGTGAATAAGTGGAGTCTGAAAGAACCCTCCGGCCTTCTTTCCCTGCTCGACAAACTGCCCAGCATTCAGCCTCAGCTTCGGATTTGCATTTATGAGCCGCCGATAGCTCGGGACCATATTAGCCGATATACTCTTTGGCTGTGCTAGGCTGTCGCTGCTCACGAAACTCCCGTTGAATGCTTCGTACACAAGAGTCCCGAGACCGTATGCGTCCGGAGCCCCCAGGGGATTCTTCTTGATAGCGGACCAGCCGCCATTGACCACTTCGGGCGGGGCATAAGTATTCGAGTTTGGCAACGAACTTCCATAGCTGTAAATAATCGCATCGTCGTCATTCATAGAACTCAGCACTTCAAACCCTCCCAGCTTCCATTCGCCGCTCTCACTTGTGAACACGGACGTAATGCGTATTGCGCCGTGCACTGAAGAGGCGTCGTTGTTGATGAACTTCAATGTGGAAGAAACGCTGTACAACCCCCATTTTATAGTCTCTTCGCTCAAGCTCTTGCGCCTGATGTGCCAGGCCAAGGGGCTAACTTTCTCCGTGATGATGTAGATGTTTGTCTCGTTTTCGATCACATCGATCACCCGTATCACTCCGGGGTGTCGTATCGTCCGCAGTTTTCGGGCGGCATTTTTGGCTAGGGGCAGCAGAGCCTTGTTGGCATGAATATCGAAGTTGAACAAGCAGCACGGCGAGTTGTCGTCCTAGAGCATCATTCATTAGAGCGGTTTATCACCAAGCCGAATCGAAATCCCCCAACTAACCTTCTTAGTCGCATTGTGTAGGATCCAAATAGAGTCTCCGAAATCAATACGGTCTCCGATGGTGACTGGAAAGGAGCTGGATTTGGCGATGGCAGAAGCGACGGCGGATTTGAGAAAGTCCATCGACCTTGATGCGACCGGGGAGTGGAGCAGTCAAAGGCCAAGGGACTGTCTGCGAAAGAGTCAATTGACTGAAATCGCCGGGAACGATGGGAGGTGTTGACGACTTTCACGAACTGGAAAGTTGTCCACAGAGGCTGCGGGCCATTTCGCGCCGTTAACATCATTAATATTATTATTGGGGAGAACGCGCCGCAGGATAAATTTCCCCGCGCTCGTTCTCCATCATCCCACTTGCCGGGCCAGGAGGATAGAGGACAGGTCTAAGTGTTGAACAGTTTCAAAATATACAAGTTCACGTCCTACCTATCTCAAGTTTCGTCCCAATGGCAGACAATTCGATCTCGCGCCGCAGGACTTTCTCTTCTACCAACATGCCAAAGAGCACAGACTACCGGCCGCATGAGGGCAAGTTTGGTATCATAACTGGCGGCTCAAGAGGTGTGTACAAGGCATTCTTCGGAAAATGAGGCTCAACTCTGCAGCTTGTCTAACTGATGACAGGTATCGGAGCTGCCGTAGCTCAGAATCTCGCTGCTAAAGGGTGCTCTCTCCTTCTCGTCTACACGTCCGACTCTTCCACCGGGCCAACGCAAGCACTTTGCAAAGAACTCTCTGAAGCATACGATGTCCTTTGTTTCCCAGTGCAAGCCGACCTTGCAGAACCAACTCGCAGCATCCCGCATATCCTAGCCACAGCAAAGAATCACTTTTCACACCCTAGGACGGGCACGTTCCAGGTGGACATTATTATAAACAACGCGGGCATCGCCGGGAACAAACTGTTGAATGATCCAGACATGGGCGCCATTGAAGAGACACAGTTCCGACAGCAATACAGTGTGAATGTCCTTGCGCCATTGTTGCTGGTTCAAGCATGTCAACCGTACCTCCCCAAAGACCGATCTGGGCGCATTGTCAACCTATCGAGCGTGTCTGCGTCAATCGGGTGTGAGTCACAGTCGATATATGCCGGGACAAAGGCGGCGCTGGAAGCCATGACCCGAGTTTGGGCCAGAGAGTTGGCGGAAAACTGCACGGTCAATGCTATCAACCCAGGCCCCGTTTGGGGGGACATGTACAGTCTTGCGGGCGAGAAGTTTTGGAAAACAAACCAGAAATATGTAGACAGTGCACCACTGATGGACTATAAAGGAGGTGACGACGCGATCAGAGCACGGGCGGGAGGCGATCCCGAGGAATATGACCGCGTGGTATTGCAGGGCATGGGTGGTAAGAGGCCGGCTTTCACGGACGAAATTGCGGGCGTCGTCGGTATGCTCTGCTCCGAAGAGAGCGGATGGACGACAGGCAGTGTGATTTGCGCCAACGGCGGCATGAAAATGTCAATAGCATAAGGGGAAAGAATGAGGACTAGAGTTAACAATTGCGTTGACTTTCAGGGAGGGAGGGCGGGTTTGGAGTTGCATACATAGAAGGGACCAAAAGCCCAAGGCTGAGAATGACAGGGAAAATATGTCATTTGAAATAAGTCGCAGTTTCCATCCTCCACAACCTGACACACGACAGTTTCCTTGCGTTTGACCATACCGGTATACAGCCCTTCTTCTGGCATATTGCCCCCCTCTGGTACTGTCGTCTTCATCAGCCCAGTCCAAGCCCGCCAAGATGGTCGACATCGTACCGGTCTCGTCGTATCCATCCCACATCTCCCTTCTCCCGTCGATCCAACAGTGCAACCTTACGAACCTGCCTGAAAACTACTTCCTCAAATACTACCTCTACCACGCGCTCACCTGGCCACAGCTCTCCTTTGTCGCCGTCGTGCGCGGCTCCGGGTCGAAACCGCCGCGCTACCCGAAAGTCGTGGGATATGTACTTGCAAAGATGGAGGAGGATCCCCCGGACGGGGTCCAGCACGGGCACATTACCAGTCTATCGGTGATGCGGACACACCGACGGCTGGGTATCGCGGAGAAGTTGATGAGGATGAGCCAGCGGGCCATGGCCGAGGTGTTCAACGCCAACTACGTCAGCCTGCACGTGCGCATGTCCAACACCGCGGCCCTGCACCTGTACCGCGACACTCTCGGGTTCGAGGTGGAAAAGGTCGAGAGCAAGTACTACGCCGACGGAGAGGACGCCTTCGCCATGCGCATGGATCTCAAGAGTATGCAGATCAAGAGTCTGCCGGAGGAGGACGAGGACGAGGGCGACGGAGTGGGTTCACTGGGCAAGAAGGGTGAGGAGGGTGAGACGGTCAATGGCGAGAACGGCAAGAAGGAGAAGATGGTCAAGGTGAAAGTCGGGCGCGGGCTGGGCGTGGGAGATCTGGTGGAAAGAAACGAAGGCTCGACGAACGCACAGTATTAATCGAGGCCACCAATCCGACTCAAATCGCCCACGTCCACCTCAATCTGGGATTCGACGTGCAGCGACATCTGCTCTCTCTCAGATTGCGGGTCTTGTCAATCAACTGTCCGTCTGCTGCTATGGTCCTAGCAATGAGACTCGGTGACTATCATCCGGCGCAGACAGCGTACCCTTTCGAATGAACCGAAAAGTCTTTTGAGAAGCTCTGTTAGCTTTCTAGGTGGGAACGTTCAGAGATAAACCTAGAGAAATCTGAGCAACGTTTCGAGCATGTCTGTTGTTCATGATTCATGAGGATCTGGGATCCTCCCTCTAAACTATTTACAGGACCATCGATGGCAGGGACGTGAAAACGTTCGACCTTGGCCACACCGGGTCATTTTGTGGCAATGTACAGATTGAAGGAATGTTGACACATCGAGCTCTCCTCTCCAATCAACAACCCCAGGGTTGCGTCAACCTTTGTCAACTGCCTGTTAAACCAGGCTGATAGTTGTTCAGGCCTTTCTTAGCCTTTTGGTCGTCCAAACGCTGCTCGTAATCCCCTCTTGTGACTGTAGCAGACGCCTCGAGGTCGCCTCCCATCTCACTCTCGCCATCCATATCATCCGTTGATTCGGCGTCTTTCCCATCGTCACTGCTTTCAGTGTCTTTCGAATTTCTCCGCATCTGGTTTTGCTCTCTCAGAACCCTCTCCTGCTCGCTCATGGCCTGAAGAGTCCGCAGCGTTTGGGTCAATCCACTAATCAACAGTTCGGCCTGGGATGCGCCGCTCTGGTGCCTGCGATGTCGTCCCCCGCGGGAGACATACCGCCGGGAGTCACAGCTGGCGCACGCACATCCAGTGCTGCTGCCATGACTGCTTTTGCTGCTGGCGTAGCTGTCGGAGGCTGAACTATATTCCGACCCAGTATCCATGGGTCGAACTTGGGGTCGCGTAGTGGTTGGCGGTGTAGTGAGAGGGATGTCAGAGCGCTTGCTTCGACATATCCGCATTTTCTGAAGTTTGGATTCTTGCTTGCGTTTCTACTTCTCGATGTCTCTTTCGTTGTATGTTCTCCTGTCGGTTGTGCTGTATTGTGCACGGGGTTTGTCTTTGGTGAGAAAGAGTGACAGAAAAGAGTGGCTTCGGTTGAGGAAGTGTTAGGAATTTACAAATCTCTGTTTGTCACTGCTCTCCCATACGTTGAAGTCAAACCATGGACGAAGGTTGCGATATATACATACCCTCTTGCAAAGCAGGGGTAGGGCACTTTAAGCCTCGCTTTCGGCGAATGACCGCGCGAGGACAAGTGACATACTGCAAAGGAGAAGAATTGTTCCGGCGCGGATGCAATCTGAGGCCAGAGTCTCCGACGATGCGTACCGAAAGAAACTTGACTCGCCTCTCCAGTTTTATCTCCGCCAGGCAGGCAGACAGTCCACTACATCGTGCTTAGCGAAAGACTGCATGTCGATCACTGCTCAAGGTGAGATCACGGCAAGACCCGCCTGCGGATAGCAGCGAGTGGCACTCGTCTATCGGCGTTGCAGACAACCCGCCCATACCCGCGGGCGTCCGATGGGGGACTGCAACAACCCGTTGTCGAACCATGGAGGATAATTTTCTCAGAGACCGGTAATCATCTTCCAATAATTATCTTGTCTTCTATTTTCACTGTCAAGGCGAGAAACAACAGGCGAATGGTGTGACGGGACAGCTCTGGTTTTCGTGGCCGGGACAATACCTCGTACTCGTGCTCGTACGGCCGAGAGATTTTTGTGGTTGAGCGGCTTTCTGCTTATTCGGCCGTTTGTAATTGTCGGATCGGAGCCGTGTGCATTTGGCGAGCCGTCAAGAGATGTCATCTCGTTAGCTTTGTCTGGAACCGCTTAGAAGGGTCATCACTGCGTGCCTTGGATCTTTAACACAACACAGGAGCACCCTCCACCTGTCACTGCGCGTTTTGCATTGTTCTTCTCAACGTGCTCAGCGCCGCCGTTCACTGGCCTTTGGCTTCCGCAAGCGACTGGAGGCATGGAAAGGTTCTGACGACGGCAGCTGGGACGAAGCGTCATGGCGAGACTGATGAGATGACTCATCTTGTTGCTGATGTCATTGAATTGTAAGGCGATCGGCGTTGTATCAGAAGAAGATGGTGAACGAAAGAAGCTGGAAGAGATCGTGTGCAAGGAACAATGATATTCCGATCCCACATTCCAGAATCCGAGTCATTAACAAAGAACAGCCTCTTCTTTACGTCGTCTCTTCTCGTCCTTTCCCCCTTCTTTTTCCTGGAACATGTTTCTTTGAACTAATCTCCATTAGGAAAATCCCATCTCACAGGCAAGGAGGCTGATACGGAGGAATGTACCGACACCGTGGATATGGAGGTAGTTTGGATCCGATGCGAACAACAATCGACCGATATATAACGTCGACTTATGGTGCTGTGCCTGCAGCTATGCTAACCTTTCGAGCTTGCGACCCATTGGAGCGTGGAGAACATCCACAGCTTCGGCTTCCTCTAGATATGCTCATCGGCGGCAAAGGAGGTGCCTCATCAGCGGAACACTTGATGAGCCCTCAGACCCCGAGATGAAGTCAGTCGCGCTGGAAACAAGAGGTACCCATAGCGATATTTTCCTCAAGCCTGGAATCGAGAAATGCAGTGTATGGATTTACAATGTGAGAGACACTCGAGAACGCTACAACAGCCGCTGTGGACCTATGTCGTATCCCACGCTACCCTGACAACGTGTGTGTCTCTGGTTTTACCGCTTGGTCGGGGAGGAAGAAGAGACAAGACGAGGACATGGACCGGGAAGATACCAAGCCCTCGCTGCTTAAGCCTCCACTCTCGTGCTGGAGTTATGCCGGTCCTATCGTAAAGGGCCCATCACTCGGAATCCAGTAACAAAGAAAGCAAATAAGGTACGCGGTAGACAATAAAACCAAATAGCTTAAACCTTACAGAGAAGTTACAGTACAGTGCGAATAGCACGGTACAGCAGATCTTGTTGAACTCCGAGAAGGCGGCTATTTATATCGCGCAAGGGCCTATGCACAGTACCTACCCAACCCACCTATGCAAAAGCATTCCATCTCATCTTCCCGCATGTCCTCATCACAATGGTATGTGCGCAGACAACCACGAGGATGGATGCCCAGAAACCGCATTGCTAATTAGCGTGGGACGAGCAACTCTTGACTGGTGCTGCTGGTGCTTGCGCAAACCCGTGTTCGCTTTCTGAGGGGTTAGCGCCGTACAGCCTCGCCGCAGCTCTGTGACAATTGCCAGTCCACGTCGAACGGGCGGTTGCAGCGTGCCACAAGAGTGGGATGTAGCCTTGACCGAGCCATGCTAATGTCTAGTCTTGTCCGCATTTTCGCTTCGATTCCTCACCGATGATCGCGCGTGACAACCAAGATGGAGAGAAAGATGGGTTGAAGGGCATGGGGAGGCGAATGGGGAACCCAATCAGAGGGATGGAATGCTGGAGAGAGGGAGGGCGAGTGGCTTCCCAGCCCGCCACGTCAATGGAACCTGTAGGCGCCGCAGGAGGGGAGCTTCTGGCCTCAGAGGACAGCCTCAATCCCTCCCTTGACAAAACTTGTTGGACAGCCGCACCCTTCTCCCAAGCCGCTGTCCTCCCTTCTCACCTCCCCTTTTCTGCCCTATCCCTTCATTCCTTGCCGGTTGGCTATAGAAAACCACACAAGGCAGAGCGCGACCCTGTGAACAGCATCGCATAGCATATCACAGCATTGCATAGCATAGCATAGTTACCGAAATCTCGTCCTCGTCTCCTCACCCTATCGCCACCCCGAGCAGAGCCCAAAGAATGGAGCAGGCAGGCTTGGTTCTGGGCAACATTGCCATGTCCAGTTTTTTGACCACGTGTCTGGATGGGTGCAACTACGTGACGCTGGATGCCCAACATGGGGGAGAATTCAACATGGCCTTCACGAAGCTCCTCCTCCTGAGAGGCTGGCTCACTGCGGTGGGGTCGACGGTTCGCGGGACTTCTTCGGCCAACCATCCGCCAGCGATGCAAGCACAGTTGGAATACCAGAAGCAGGTGGTCAGAGTCAGCGTCGAGAGCTTGAGGCGGCTGCTGCAGCACTCGAAGAAGTATCATGAGAAGTCCGGGCTCAAAATCAGGGCGGACAGGTCTGAAGGAGTGGTGCATGTAGGTGAGATGGCGGCGATCGAGCCAGCGTTCTATGAGACAGAGGACGCAGTCCCAGAGCAAGATCCCTATTCAGATTCTCCTCACTTATCCTCGTTCACCAAGACGGCCCCGGGTCAAGCCCAGACGCTGGAACATCATCGCAATGTCGAAGCCCACATTGCGGACCTCGACAACTTTGTGAACAGACTCGACTATCTGCTTCAATATCTCGGGCTGGTCGACGACGACGCGATGCAGGTCGAGCTGGTAGAGCGAGCGATGGAGGCCATCCCTGAGCCGGCCAGCATTCGGTTGTTGCTTCAAGCTTCCGGGTCCGACTCCCACGTCCCCGAAGGCATCTTCCCCACCGCTGCAGCTGCTGGTGCCGCCAACTTCGCGGCCACGGGCCTTGCCGAACCGACCAAGTTAGCAAGTCATCAGTACATTCGAAATCTCATCAAGGAGCAAGCAATGACCGTCATGGGGGACGTGGGACACGTCAACGGCACCGCCAGGAGTTTTTACCAGGAGAACGAGATGAGTGGAAGATCGCAAGCCGTCCTGGGCAACGTTGACGGCGCCTTTGGAGTGGGTTTCTTTGGCAGGACCCAGACCGACAAATCTTAGATAGCGCAGCTAACGACCGAACGAGCCAACTAACTATGTTACCTATAGAGCGAGAGTTGAATAGTGTGAGCATTGGAAAGGAATAAAGGGGGAGGGTCATTATTATGATGGAAACCACAGAACGAGGGTACACGCACAGAGAAACTTACTACTACCAGGATTATAAGCACAATCAATCTTCTTTCTTTCTCTTTGCGTTTGATGTTCTGTGATCTCAAAAATGACGCCCCATAGTCTGAATAACCTGCTGAAATGCGCCCAATGAACCTAGCTAGCCAGGAAATATGCAGCGATGATACCATCCGTGCCATGCCCACGTCTCGTGATTCTGGACCCCTTTTGTTGTAGTCAAACAGATGCATACCAGATAAGCACACGTTCATCTCGCATCAAAACATGTCATGTCATGTCACGTCACCCTTTTTCACCTTTTCCTTGGGCTGGCTGTGCCTGCGCTGGCCCCGTCGTCGTCGAGCTCGTCCTCTTCCTCGATTAAAGCCGGTGTGCGTCTTTCGTTCCGTCTCTTTGGTCGTCTCCTCCGTGCACTCGAGATGTTGCTGGCTGAATCGTCCGGCTCGATCTCTCCTAGCCCATCCCACTCCCCGAGCCCGTCGTCAGTCTCGGCGTCCCATCGCGTTGCCGTCCCGTTTTCTCCATTGGGCAGGATCCCGCTCGCCGGAGTATCCATGCGGACCTCGATTCCGCCACCCATCACGCCGCGTCGGCGCTGGGCGGCTGCTGCTAGGCCCGCAGAGCGCTCTCGTAGAGCTCGACGAACGTTTTCCGCCTTGTTGTGCAGGATCTCAAAGGCATCTTCGAGGGCTTCCATTCCGGCATAGATGTCACGTTCGATCTCGGCCAGGGTCGCAAGCTCGGTCTCTTCATCGAAAGCAATGGGTGCTCCGTACTGGGCATTGGGAACGCCATTTGTGTGCGCGTAAGGTTGAGAGTAGCTGGTCTGGCGAGAACCGTACCCATTACCATTAATTTGAGGCCCATAACCAGGCGTAGCGCCTCGGGTCGGGGGCCGATAAGGCGTCGGTCCTCTTGATGGGATGTGCTCCTGTAAGGGAACGTCCTCTGCTCCGCTCCTAAGAAACCCATCAAAGCGGCCAGAGATCAGGATGTCCCATTCG